CCCCATGCCCCTAACCCCAACTCAGCACAAGGGAAATTCTCATGGATTGGCTAATTTATAAAGATGTTTCTGGATCCTACTATATCAGTACCCTGCTGTGTTCACTTGTAACCATTCCCACAAAGAACAGTGTCAGCCTTCCATTTTGGCACTAACTTACTACACAGAATTTATTTAATACCAGACATGTGATCCCAGATCATGGATATGAAGGGCACCAAAGTATCATCAAATTGAATCCTACAGTGTATAAAAAGAGTTCTACACCACAATCAATGAGATTTAAAGCATATAAGCGAGGCTAATTCAACATTCAATATCAATCAATTTAATCCACAATTTCAAATGGCTAAAGAAGAAAAAATCCTATGATTGTAATAGTTTATGCAGAAAAAAATTAAATTACATGATCCAATATCCATTCATGATTAAGTGAAAAACTCACCAAACAATGAATAGAGGCAAATTCCTCATATTCGAAAATAATATTTTTTAAAAAACATGTAGCTAACATCACACTTACTGATGAGAGACTGGACACTTCACTTCTTTTTGTTTATGTTTATTTATTTTTGTATGTGTATGAGAGAGAGAGTGAGCATGAGCAGGGGAGGGGCATAGAGAGCGGAAGACACATAATCCAAAGTAGGTTCCAGGCTCTGAGCTGTCATCACAGAACCCGAAATGGGGCTCCAATCCATGAACGCTGAGATCATGACCTGAGCTGAAGTTAGACACTTCACCAACTGAGCCACTCAGGCGCCCCTGGACCCTTTAGTTCTGAGGTCAAGAATAAGATTAGCATGTGTTCTTCTTTCCACTTTTATTGAACAGTGTACTAGAAGTTCTAACTACACAATAAGATGAGAAAAAGCAATATAAGTTATACAAATTAGAAGTGAAGAAATAAGCTCTCTTTATTCTCAGATGACATGATGGTCTATGTAGAAAATCTGAAAACCTCCTCAAATAAACAAGCCAGTATAGCAAAGTTGTAGTACACAAGATTACTAATTAAAAAGTCATTTGCTTTTTTATTTTTGTTTTGTTTTGTTTTAATATAATTTATTGTCAAATTGGTTTACATACAACACCCAGTGCTCATCCCAATAAGTGCCCTCCTCCATGCCCATCAGTCATCTTCCCATCTCCCCCAAACCCCACACACCCTTGGTTTCTGTATTTAAGAGTCTCTTGTGGTTTGGCTCCTTACCTCTCTGTTTGTAACTAATTTTTTCCCCTTCCTTTCCCCCATGGTCTTCTGTTAAGTTTCCCAAGATCCACATATGAGTGAAAACATATGATATCTGTCCTTTTCTGACTGACTTATTTCACTCAGCATAATACCTTCCAGTTCTACCCATGTTGCTGCAAATGGCATGATTTCATTCTTTCTCATTGCCAAGTAGTATTCCATTGTATATATAAACCACATCTTCTTTATCCATTCTTCAGTTGATGGACATTTAGACTCTTTCCATAATTTGGCTATTGTTGGAAGTGCTGCTATAAACATTGGGGTACACGTGCCCCTATGCATCAGCACTCCTGTATCCCTTGGGTAAATTCTTAGCAGTGCTATTACTGGGTCATAGGGTAGATCTATTTTTAATTTTTTGAGGAACCTCCATACTGTTTTCAAGAGCAGCTGCACCAGTTTGCATTCCCACCAAGAGTGCAAGTGTTTCCATTTCTCCACATCCTCGCCAGCATCTGTAGTTTCCTGATTTGTTCATTTTAGCCACTCTGACTGGTGTGAGGTGGCATCTCAGTGTGGCTTTGAGTTGTATTTCCCTGATGATGAGTGACATTGAACATCTTTTCGTGTGTCTGTTGGCCATCTGGATGTCTTCTTTGGAAAAGTGTCTATTCTTGTTTTCTGCCCATTTCTTCACTGGATTATTTGTTTTTTGGGTGTCGAGTTTGGTAAGTTCTTTATAGATTTTTGGATGCTAGCCCTTTATCTGATTTGTTATTTGTAAATATCTTTTCCCTGAATGTTGAAATTTTAAAAAATTATCATTTATAAGTAGTACCAAAATTTTAAATATACTTAAGCATCAATCTAATAAAATGTGAAGAGAAACTATTTGTTGAAAATTATAAAATATTGATATTTATGAAAGATACTGCATATTCATGAATTAGAAGATTTGATATTATTAAGACGTCAATTTTTCCAATTTTGCCTTATTGATTCAACACAGTCTCAACTGAAATTTTAGCAACCTGTTTTGTAGATTATCAACAAGTTGATTCCAAAGTTTATAGGGAAAGGCAAAAGACTTTTGCAAGGTTAAGTAACTGTACACAGAAGGACTTTAGTCCTGTTTGATACTGCAATGGTGTATTCATGAAACTCTGAATTCGTCAAATCTCACAGAATTTTGTAGCACAAGACTGAACCTTAATATGTGAAATTAAAAAGGAATAATTCTTAAGATTGAGGAATCCCAGGTTAGAAGGTAGAATTAAAAAAAAAAAAACTACTGTATTACAAATGTATGAAACAACCTCACAGAAAGGAATGGGGATAAAAAAGGCTGACCGAAGTAACTTTGGAAATGAGTGGAATCTGTAAGACTAAAGGCAACAGGAACTGTACACAAACATTGTAGTTGATAAGGTTGATTCCCACAGAGGTATGGTGTAATACTTGGGATACCACTATACACATACACAGTGATTGGAAAATCAAGTAAATGGATGGCAGATGGTTGGAGCCTGGTTTCTCGCTGTTGGTACAAGTTTACATATAAGCAAAAGTTAAAAAGGTCCTTGTGATATTGAATTGGAACTGTAGACATCAACATGAGCTTATGGCTAGTGTAGGATAGATACAGATGGTTTTACATATGGTCACATTTAAAGATGTGTGTATACACAGGGAGGGGCTAGAATATATACATCAGTTTCTTGCTCTATCACCTAAGGGCACCTAGAAACAATGACATTCCAGGAGCAGTGAGCACATATAGCACCCAGATCTTGGTTTCTAATACCGTGACCCAATATTAGTGTGATGGTTAATTTTATGTGTCAACTTGCCTAGGCCACAAGGTAGCCAGTACTTGGGCAAAAATTATTCTGTGTGTTTCTGTCAGGACTTCAGATGAGATTATCATTTACATTGGTCCTTTGTGTAAAGTAGATTGCCCTCCATATTGTGGGTGGTCCTCACCCAATCCGTTGAAGACCTCCAGAGAACAAAAGGCTGACCCTTCCCTAAATAAGCAATTCTCTTGTTTTGTTGGCCTTCGAAGTGGGACATTGGCACTTCCTGGCTCTGCAACAGCCTGGCTGCCCTCAGACTTGAACTGGAACACAGCTATGCAGATTTTGGACTTGCCAGCCTCCATAATCACACAAGCCAATGCCTTAAAATAAATTGTTTTTTGTATATATATACATGCATACAAAGGAAATATATATATATAGTTATTTATTATAAATATT